TTAATTTTTCTTGCTTTTTCAGTTGGTGTGCATATGATAAGTTTGAATATAGAATAGTGTTGGTTGAAATGGCTGCAGCTAATATGTTTAGTTTAATTAGATTTACCAAGTCAAGTGAAGTTCTTTGTTAGAAAGTGAGTTATTGGTATTGAAAGTTGGGTTTAATATTACAGTGTACAAATTAGAGTTTGTCTAGGTTCAGATTGATATCTATTAGAAGAATAAATAAGTCTTAATTAGTGATTTGAATTGTTTCGTGTGATGAGTTGGTGTTATTGTTACGATTTATGAATGATATCGCACAAAAAATAGAGGTCATGTTTCCTTTTTTTTTTCTCTTTAATTGATATTTTTTAATTATTATTTTTTTAGTTTCCTTGATGTTCGAGATTTGTTGAATTAAAGTAGATGATGAAAAATAAAGGTTCTTATATACTTTTGTCTTCGAGGAAAAACATATTTTAAAGAAAAAAAACTAACTAATAATAGTAATAATAACGCTAAATATATATTTATCTATTTATTTATTATTGCTAAATAGCTTAACTATATTTATTTAGTTACTTTTAAGAGTTCGATTCAAGATAGTTCATTAATTAAAGGAAGATCAATAGCGAACATAGAACCTTAATTAAGTAAATAGACATAATGTTATTTTTAGTCGAAGTATTCTAGATTAGTAATGTCGAAATGGTAAGATCAAGGACAAAAGATTTGCAATAGTTTCTTAGCTAAGCAGATTATTGGTTATTTTTGCTGTCTACTAAATAAATAATACTTTGCACCAAAGCGCAGATTTTATTTATTCAATTTATTATTTTATAATAAAGCGAGGCATTTTTGTAATAATAAAGACAACAATTAAGTTTTCTGCCTAAAAAGGTTAAACGATTAATTTCTATTTTAGTCATTGTACAAGATTATTTTTCACAGTTATTCATAATTTTTATAATTAAAGGAGAAGCATTTCTTTATAGTAATAATAATGAAGACAAATAATTAATCCCTTTGTCTAAAAAGGCTAAGCGATTGGGTTTCATTTGTCTTGTATGCAATATTTTTTTGTGTAATTTTAATCAATAGTGTTCCTTTTTAATTAATCAATAAAACTACTTTATTATATATGCAACTGCTGTTCAATAAGCGAAAAATATATTTGAGCACTACTTAACTTGTGCAGTGCTTCGCTGCTCTACATTTGCGCATCTGCTAGTGCTAAATAAAGACAATCAGTTGAAATTTGTGAAACCCAAAACTACCAAAAAAAGCTATACTGATGAAAATCAATTACTAAAAATAAATATCAATCCAACCGAATTATCTAAGAAAAGCAATCCAGAGTAACACAAAGTGCTAATGATTATTTCTAGGTGCTAAAATTTTGAAACATATAAGACTTTAAAATTTATATTTATGTTTAAAGTGTTAAAGAAAAATTTGATTTAGAATAACACTTAAAATAGATATTTTTTAGATCATTAGTGTTGAAAATTAAATTTGTTTCAAATTAATTAACAAATAAGATAGCTGGCAGCTATCTTATTTTTAATTAATTTGAAACAATTTTAGTTTTCAACACTAACAATCTAAAAAATATCTATTTTAAGTGTTATTCTAAATCAAATTTTTTCTTTAACACTTTAAACATAAATATAAATTTTAAAGTCTTATTTGTTTCAAAATTTAAAATTATATTATTGATTTATTGCAACAATAATTATCAAAGTTGGTATGGATCAATCATTAGCAATATTGATCAGACAAATTTAGTGTAATTTAATTATTTTATACAAATCGATCAAACCATTTGGTCACTTAATGCAAGACTATTAAATAGAGTTGGTACTCAAAACGAAACCTACCCAAAACTAATTTCAGAAAGCTCTAATCCAAAACCTGAAACCCAAAACCCCAAAACCATAACCCGAAACCTCAAAATATAGTCTGGTTTAAGTTAGGGGAGGGCCAGAAAACACGTGTTTTTTATTTTGACAAAATTACCCCCATCCCCCCTAGGTTTCTTATCTTCTAGATTTTTTTATATATAGCCGTGTTTTTTGAAAAGACCCTCCTCCCCCCAAAAAAACACGTGTTTTCTGGCTCTCCTCTTATTGATTTTGGATAGTGTTCAGAGACCTGGATTATTTTCAAAATTCAATTTTTGAAATAATTTGAGATCTATTGGCTATAATAATTCCATTTTATTCTACATTATTCTTAACTGTAGTATTCCCCGTTCTATCATGTAATGTTGACACATTCAACATTATTAAACTTTCATTTAAATACTTGTTTAGCAAGTTTGGTGTATTTAGTTTGTGCGATAGTTTATGGGAAGGTCGGTTTTTGTTAACAAATATACCTTGACACGAAATAAAAAAAGCTTCAGATATAAAATAGACTTTTATAATAAATATATCACACGAATAGGTGCTAATATTAAAAAAAAACAGCTAGATATATGGTCAAGAATTCGTCAACTGACTCAAGATTTTAAAAAATCGATAAAGTGTTCGAAAGCTTTTCAATACATCCATATCTTTGAAACTGACTTATAGAAGATTTGTTAACACCTAAACATTTGACAATTTTTCAAATCGATAAGCATTCTAAATGTTTTCAATTATAAAGTTTTGGAGTTTCTAGCTTTGAAAAGGAATTTCAGGTTTCAGAAGAGGTTTCGAGTTTCAGATGAGGTTTCGGAAACTATAATCCAAAACCCGAAACTTTCGGATTTGGCAAAAAAGTTTTCGGTGACCAACTTTAGTAGCTATGGGATGCTGTCGCACTAAAAGCTAGGAATATAAACAACAATATTCTATGAATGGAGTGATATTAAAAATTTAGCAAAGTGTATGGTTATATCGCAAATTAAGTGGTGTGTCCATAAAATCCTGCATTTTATTGATAATATATGTGGCAAATCAGGAATTTTAAATATAGTAGCATCATAGAGCATATTTAATACTTTTTTCTGTATATAGGCAACTTCTGCGCACGATTTGATCCACACCTGAATTTATATGAATAGTGTTTTTCTCACGATCTATTTCAAAATTAAGTTTCAAAATTAATATAAAAAAACTCAATTATCATATAATTATTGTTAAAATATCTTTACCGTTACATTTGCCTGAATTCATACTATGAGTGTTATATAGCATACTTATACTTCAACACAATTATATTGCTCGCCCAAATTCAATAGTATTTATGTATCAAATATTACAAAATATTTATTGTTACAGATCATAATAACGATTAAAAAAGCTTTAAACCCCACTAAAAAGAAGGCTTTTCTCTAATTAAAGAAGGCGGAGTTTCATTTCATTTTAATATAAAATATAATAAACTTCAAATTAAAACCTGATACTGTAATTTAATGTATGTAACACAAAGGTGTAGATCATCAGATCGGAAACGGATCGGGAATCACGTGACAGTAAAACCGATCCTGCGCCCTGGCGTAATCTGAAAACACAGTACCATTTTCAAATTGAAAAATGAAATGCATCAATTAATAATTGACATTGAATTGAGAAATGATGCATAACATATATAGCCCGATTGTCTCATTATATAACAGTCGTTGCGACATTCGTTTGTAGTATTTATTTATACCATTTAGTCCTTATTTTATAAAAAATTTTACATATATAAAAAAATCTCCGGGCGGCCGGGTCCAAAAATTTTTCAAATGTTATAAACCAGTTTATTTTATTTGTATCGCCTAATATGTAAGAAAATACACATGCACATACGTACATACATAAATCAAAATTAAATTTCTTTTTTTGAGTTGTATACTAGCACAAATAAATAAATTCTATTGCTATCAATATTATAGATCATATGAAACCTTTATTTTAATAATTGAGATTGGCTTGCATATTAGGTAATAATTTTAATTTATAATCTGGTCGATTCTTGTAAAAATGAAGAGATTAGCTAATATAATTAATTATGTAGTTTCATATTAGATAAATAAGCTATAATAAAAAAAACTTACTCCAAATAACCTGATTCACAAAAAAAGTTTACAGCCATTTCAGGTGTTATTTGTGTGCATACTACTCTAAGCACATAAAATGGGACTATCGCAATATTCATAAAGTCTCTATTTTTCTAGATCCAGCTTTTAATAGTACTAAAAGCTGTTTCTATAAGGTTAAAATTTAGAGAATAGAGTGGTAAAAAAATTACATGACATTCAAGCTCTTTTACTATTTCAACAAAAATCTTATTTTAGTAGATTTTTGCGTTATCAAAAATAATGACACTGTTTCTTTCTAGAAAGAGATTTATCACTAAAACCTATTATATTTAATAATATATATTATTAATTTCAATTACATGACTATTTATCACCAAACTCTTTTACTTACCACTTGATTTAAAATGAATTCACAGAACCGTTCTTTGTCACAACTACTTTTCATGATATCAACGGTTAAAATATCATCTAATGAAAGAGCAGGTAGAAGTGTATACCTTTTACCACAAATAAAGATGGTCTTTTTGCATGCACAAACATTTATAAGTGCATAGCCATACTGCCTATTTATATTATGATTATCTTTCGTTGATTCGTCAATAAAAATTAATTGTTCTGGATGATAATTGGCTCCAATATTAGTGAGGAAGGCACTCCGCAAAAGCTCACTTTTTTCAGAAGTCATTTTGTATAGCTAAATTAAAAATTAAAGAATTGATAAAGGTTATATTATTTAAAAATTTAAAATTTCTAATTATATTGTAATAAGATATAGAGCTCGGTTTCATGAATATTTATGGTTAGAAACAGATATTCATTGAATATCAAATATTTTGTTATACAAAATTTACAAATACTGTAGTTGAAAATTTGTATATTCGCACAAATATTCGCAGTTATAAATAATAATACTGGTATTTATCCAAAATTCAGATATTTGTCCAATACTAATAATATTAATTTTAATTACCTTTTTATAGAAAAAACCAAGATATTGTAGTGAATGCTATATAGTTGAGACAGAAACCTGCTTTTGTATATAGTTTTCCATCTTAACCACAAGCTCATCAAGATAAAAGACAACTTTCTCTATAATAATACGTTTTAAGAGATCTAGTTCTTCATAAGCGAATATTTTTTGATGTCCTAGTTGTTCTTTAAAAGGTTTTTTGATGTATCCCCACTTTTGGAAAGTATCTAATGTTTGATGTACAGTAGATTTGCTTATATAAAGAAATTTGGTAATATCTTCTTTGCTATAACTGTCTACAGTTATATTGTTACAGAGTAACTTTATAATGTTACACTAATAAATTTGTAAAATAATACTTTATAATTTATAGTTTATATTTTAGATATAATTCTTGTTAAATTTGTATTGTATTAGAATTTATATTGTATTTAGAATAGTTAAAATATTGGAATATATGTCACTATGTACCATATGCCAGTATGTGCTATATACCACTGTGTGCTATATGCTACTATGTACCATATACCACTGTATACCATATGCCACTGTATGCTATATGCCAGTGTATACCACCTGCCACATGGTGTATGCTAGTGTATACTATCTGCTACATAGTGTATACCAGTATATGCTATTTGTTACATGGTTGTATGCCAGTATATACCACTTGCCACATGGTTATATAATAATATATCTAGTACAATATACATGGTTGTATGCCAGTGTATGCTAGTGTACCTCACATGGTTGTATGCCACTGTATACCAATCTAACAGTTATTTAAAGGAAGTTTTTCTCCCTTACCTCAACAGACAACAGACAATTAGACAATTAGACAATAGATAGTGGAATAACTAGATAGTTAGAGTAGATAATGAATAGAAATTATTAAATACTTCTTGGAATATTGTTCTTTAAATATTCCTACAATATTTTCTTCATTCTAATAACCTTGTAATGTATTTATTGTCTCTAAAACAAGTAAATAAATCCTTCTGCTTAAACCTTCTCTCTTGCTCTTCTTAAACACTTTCTTTAAAAGTATTGCTATAATATCTTGGTGCTTTCTGGCAGAAACAAATTTAAAACCCTGGTGAAAACTATTTTATTTTTATTGTAAATTCATTAGAGTAGTCCTTTTTATTTATATTCCATCCCTTCTCCTTCTTCTTCCTTTGTTCTTTTTTCTTTTCTTTATTTTCTTTAAAATTTTAATTTTTTATTAGTTGGCTTTAGTTTTTCTTTAATAGCTCTACGAATATTAACCCTATTTTAAGAATCTCACCTCCTTTACATTTTTGAAAACATCCTTTATCTTTTAGTATAGGTTGCTTAATACCAAAATGCTTCCCTGTTGCTCTAAAAATTGTCAAAGTTTTCACTCCCTTTTCTTTACTATAAAT